AGCAATAGGCAAGTCTTGTTCCTACTCATCTCCTTCTATAGCCTCAACCTCTTTGTCATCAAGATTCAAATTTGAGTCAGATGATTGGGTGGTGTTAATTGGAGCGATGTGCTCTTCTTCTGGAACTCTGGTTCTAGGTTTCCGCTTATAGGTATTCTTGTAGAATGGGGAATTTTGATCTAGTGTAGGATTTTGGGGTGATGAGGTTGGTGGCTGAAATGGTGAGGTTGATGGAGAGATTGTATTATCTGGAGGGCTTGATTCAGAGTTGTCTGGGAGTATGGGTTCAGTGTGGTTAGATTCAGATTCTTGGAGGTCTCGAATAGTGTGTGAAATAGGTGAATTAGGGTTCAAAGACTGGATTTCATTGTGATTCTCCCCCTGAAATTCAGTTTTGGAATAGAAAGGCTGATGTTCAAAGAAGGTTACATCCATTGTGATGTAGACCTTTTTAGTGGTAGGAGAATAACATTTATATCCTTTCTGGTTGGCAGCATATCCTATGAATATACAAGGTAAGGATTTGGGATCCAGTTTTGACCTAGGTGGGGAATGGTTGTGAACAAATGCTTTGCAACCAAAGACTTTGGGTGGAAGATTGGTAAGAGGGATGTGAGGATGTAGATAAGTGAGAATTTGGGGTATGGGCTTTTACATTAGTGAATTTTGGAGGGCATCCTATTTATCAGGTAAGCTGCAGTTAAGACAGCCTCTCCCCAGTAGTGTTTAGGAGTGTGAGTGGTGAACATAAGGGCTCTAACAACTTCCAGTAAGTGTCTATTCTTCCTTTCTGCCACCCCATTCTGTTGTGGGGTGTCAACACAGGAGCTAATGTGTATAATCCCTTTTTTGGACAGAAACTCTCCTAAGTTGGATGAGAAATATTCTTTGGCATTATTAGTTTTAAAAACTTGAATCTTGGTTTGAAACTGAGTTTTGATCATAGAATAGAATCTTTGAAAGATAATATTGACTTCTGACTTCTCTTTCATGAGGAAACCCCAGTTTAGGCGTGTATGATCATCAATAAACAGAACAAACCACCTTGAACCAGTGAGGTTTTTGACCTTGGATGGGCCCCAAACATCACTGTGGGTGAGAGAAAAAGGTTTAGATGGTTTGTAAGGTAGACTGGGATAGTGACTTCTAGTATGTTTAGCAAGTTGACAAAATTCACAATCAAAGACAGAACTTTTATTTATGAATAATGAAGGAAATATTTTTTCTGAGTACAAGACATTAGGATGACCAAGACGATAATACCATAACTGAATTCGAGTATCAAACTGACTCCTACTAAGACTCTCTAAGAACTTATGGTTGAATTGACTCTCACCGGAAGTTGTCTTGTTGGTGGAGTTTGGTGAATGTGGTGAATGTTCCAGAAGATAGAGTCCACCACTTTGCTTAGCACTGCCAATCATCCTCTCCGAATCCAAGTCCTGAAATTCACACAATTGAGAAGAGAATTTAGTTAAGCAATGTGTATCATTGTTCAGTTTACTGACTGATAAGAGGTTGAACTTTAAATCTGGAACATATAACACATTGTTAAGCACTATCTTGTCAGAAATTTTGACTCTTCCCGTCCTTTTTATTGCTGAAGTAGTTCCATCAGCAATCTTCACAATTACCTTATTCTTCATAGGGATCAATTCAGCAAAAAACTTACTGTCTCCAGTCATATGATCTGATGCCCCTGAATCAACAATCCAATAGGGCTGACTGTGTGCAACTAGGGTTGTTAAGGCATTACCTGTCTGAGCAGTAAGGTTAGTTGATGGTGTAGGCCCTTTGCTCTAACTTATTAGGTGTTGAAGAACCTCAATCTGCTCACTGGTAAATGCAGCAGAGTTTGAAGTGCCCATGTCTTCTTTATCTCCAGTAGCTACATAGGCTCCTCTCCCTTTGCTGGGTTTGAAATCTTTAGGTTTACCATGCAAATTCCAGCATGTTTCTTTGGTATGGCCTGGTTTCTTACGGTGATCACACCATGACCTCCCTTTTTTCTTGTTTTCATTCTGTGTGGAAGAGGTATATAGGGCTGATCCTTCAATGTTTTGTTGAAGACCTTGAGATTTTAGACCCATCATTACCTTCCTTTTGCTTTCTTCTCTTCTGACTTCTGAGAAGGCTTCTCTAAGGGTGAGTTTCTTTCCCATTATTCTGCCCCTAACCTCATCTAGACTCTTGTCCAAACCCGACAGGAATTTGAAGACTCTCTTCCTTTCACAGATCTCCTGATATAGCTTCTTATCCTTAGAACATAACCAACTGTATGTCTCAAACACATCAAGATGCTACCAGAGTCTCACAAGGTTGTTGAAGTATTGAGTTACACTCAACTCTCCCTGATGAAGGTTATGTAACATTGATTCAACCTCAAATAATTCAGAAGTGTTATCTGAAGTTGAGTATGTTTCTTTCACAGCCTCCCAAATCTCTTGAGCTGTTTTGTATAGTAGGAAATTTTCCCCTATACTGGTTGTCATGGAATTGATGAGCCATGACATCACAGTATAGTTGTCCTTTTTCCACTTCTTGTAGCCTGGATCTCCTTGATCCGGAGCAGGTGCATCACCTGTCAAATAGTCCTCCTTGTCTTTTCCACACACATACATCATAATTGACTGAGACCATTGTAGATAATTACTACCATTGAATTTATGACAAGTAATAATCGAATCTGATTGATTAGGAGTGATGATTGTGCTTCCATTGATACTCTGGTTGCTGCCATCTCCAGTTGGGACATCCTCTGAATGTTCAGAGGTGACTGAGATAGATCCAACTCTCTCGGTGGTCATCCCATAGGATCCGAACTTGATCATTTTAGAGAATAACCACTCTCTGATACCATGTAGAAATAACTCAAGAAAGTAAACTGTATTCTGTTTATCATGTTCTGTATATTACAAGGAGAAGAATACAGGATATATATAGCTAGAGAAACAATGAAATAGGGAAGGAATCATCCTAATTAAGGTTCCCTGATAAAGAAAAGATAATTGGGGATATTTAGAGATTCTGAGATCTCTAAGATATCTCCTCATAAATGCACAATCGGGTGAGTGATTAGAACAATCTGTAATAATCTACACAAGAGGAATGGGCAAGGGAGTGCTAGGATTGGCTTCACACATAATCTAGCAGAAGGAGAGGCACCTAAAGGTGAAGCATTTGAACTATCAAAGTGGTTTGTGAATTCGAGGGTTGAGCCGAGCCGAGCAGTTGAATTGATTAGCAAGTTATATGCAAAAGAGAACTATGGTGAGCAAGGTTTGAACCAACAGTTTCAGAGATGGAAGGATGCTAAACTGGAGTGGTATAATGGTGGAAACAAGGGGTATGGGTTGCAAAATCTTGAAGGAGTATGTGGAAGGTGTTTTATCATTGAATGTATTGGAAGGGAGGTGATGGATGTGCATGCCTATGAGGCACACCCAAAAGAAAATGCAGAGAAGGGTCACAAACAATTTTACTTTATCAATCTGGAGGACTCTAAGGCTGCTGAAGTGAATGGAAGGTCAATAGAGATACCTTCTGCTGCAATAACAACTGTGATTTTGGAAGTTCATGCGTTGAAGATAATAGTAAAGAAAGCATTGGGGTATTGGGAAGGAAGAGGTGCAAAAATGAAGAAGAAGCTGTTCGTCAGGATTGTCTCCTATGACCCACCTTGAGGACAACGTGGTTGTCCCGGGGGAGTGATGTTAGAGCCATTGGTAGCCATCCATTTAATAATAATATTAGCTATTTTGACAAAGTGTATTCTAGAAGGAAAGGGAATAATAAGTAGTTGGGAATTGTAATTAGGGGTCAGGTGGACTTCTATAAATAGATAGCTACAGGAGAAATAAGGGAGGCTATTATTTGGTGATTGGCTGGGACCGGAGAGTTGACATCTCTCTAACTGTCAGGACACCTTGTCTCTCTTTTCTGTTGATCGAATAACAAATCTACTTTACTGTTCATCTTCGACTCTTCGTTCCTATTTTTCTGTCGCAAATCTTACAGATTCCAGATAGATACTTAACAAAAACGTTTGTAGTAGATTGGGTTATGTCATTGACATTAGTTCTTTCTAAATGACGGGGCCCCACCGTTATATAGAGACTATAATTAAAATAATATACTCATTCCATATTTTTCGATTTGGGGTTTTAAGTTTTTCACGGAGACTAAAAAGTGGTAGAGGTAATGAATAATGTAAAAAAATGTAAAACTTAGGAGAAAATACATGGAAAAAATACGAAAGAGAAGATAAGTTAAAAAAAATATAAAAGAGGAGATGAAAAAGTAAGACAAGATAAATAAAAATGTTGCAAATAATAAAAACATTCCTAAAAGAAATATATGCAAATAATAAATAAGGAGGTAGTCTATTGCACAGATGGAAGATATTTTGTACATAGATCTAAAAGGAAAACTGCTATATTTGCAGCATTATAGGGACTAAAAATTAGTTAAGCCTATTAATAACGTCGTTTTTTACGAAAGTATTTATATAATGAACACTTTATATATTTTTCTTTCATATCAGAAATATCTAAAAGCAATGGTTAGAGTTTAATGTCAATATGCTAAATAAAAAATCAAATAGGATCTATGTGTATGGAATCGATATCATGTGTCTAGTAACAATTTTCAAAGAGTCACTGGTTTTTATGACATGGAACTAATAGTCCATCTATTTACTTTTACTTCTACTAATATGTCTGTTTTTCGAAGTGATTAAGAATGTTGATGATAGAAAAAAAGAGAAGTGTCTTTAGTCATTTATCATCATTTTACTTATAAACTTACTGAACATCAGAGAAAAGGACGAGAAAACAATGATAGTCATTTCTCTTGATGCATTACATATTTATATGTGGTAAAGTTGAACAAGCAAATAAGAATCACAAAATCACGCAGTGCAAGTTATTATTTAAAACATTGACACATGTGATAATATTTAGTTATCTAAAGTAAAACTATAGAGAGTAATGGTGATATACCTTGGTAGGTTTGAAGGCGTGTTTAGGTTCGCGCCTATATTCATGCATAACCCAGTTGGTTTTCTCACCCTTTGGGGCTCTTCCTCTGTAAAACACCAGTGTTTTCTTCATCCCCACCAACACACTGCCACCTCGAAAGATGTCTTTGTCTTTGCCGGTCGTCTTCCAATACCCCGCTTCAGTTGCCCGATTTGTCCTCAGGCCAGTCGGGTATTTCCGGTCCCTGAGGTTGAAGAAGTACCATTCCTTCTCTCCCATTGATGCCTTTCCTGTTTTTTTAATGTTTTTTAAAATATAAACCACAATTGGCAACCGTAACCATATATTATGCAAATACTTTCTACCAAACCACATTCAGAAAACTTCATCATATTTGACTCTCTTGGTCAATTATGTTGCATATGATTGATATTATTTTTTAATGTTAAGTTATTTATAATGTGAAAATGGTATAGAAATGATCATTGTTAAAAAATAATTTCATGAAAGTATACAATTAACCACCCAAAGTAAAAAATGAAAAAATTTTAGGGGACAAATGAAGTATATACATGTGTGCTGGGTAGGATCTATATTAGTGTTATGTTGGACTGAAATAAGAGCAACTTAATTTTTTCAATGTTCCTGTTAATGTTCAAGCCTAATATAATTACTCTTGAAACCAGTCTAACTTAGATTCCTGAATCTGTCCCTATACGTGTGTAGAGAATTAGGATCAAATGAAAAAATGATAGAAAATGAGAATGAATACAGAACGTGGAAATTGATATTGTGCAGAAAATGTGGTGATATTTTTATAAATAAAATGAAGTTTTCGTGTGCATGACTCTTGTTTCTCACGGGAGAACCCCCTACATAGTACATACCTACATTTGTGTATTAAACTTCAAAGAGAGATCATGTCAGTCCAACAATGGGGAGTTAGGGTGTCCCCTGCAGTGCCAATTTCAGGGCAGGGCTTCAAGTGGGGTTAACCTGTGACCGAATACCGTCCAGCAACACCAATCTTGGAGTGGAGACCGGACCAATTGCGACGGCGGAGAGATCAGCGAGATTATGGCGGCTCGTGAAGAACTCCTGTAACGCGATGGAGGTGCTCATCCTTATTCTTCGGGAAAAATCATCATCCAAGCGATGGCTGGACGTCAGATTCAGGGACGAGCGACGAGGATTTCAATGAGGGCGATTGGGATTCTTGGGCAGAAGAGGCGTACCAGTCTCATTTGCCAAAAAGTTCACCCAGACTTGTACGGACCGCGTACCGGCCCTGCTCACTATTTGAAAGGCCAATTGATTCGGCCATAAGAACATTACTACTCCATAATAAATGGACACATTACTAATATGAACGGTCATCAAGCTGTCATGGACACACACCCGTTTAAAATTAAAGTCTCATCTCCAACGCCACTATGAGTTTTGTGTAAATATCTATAGCATTGCATAAATGAAAACTTTTTATTTACTACTCCTTATTTCTACAGATCGGTCTAGGTTTTTCTTCTTCTAGCTTTCTTCTCCAAAGCCAATTAGCCAAGCAGCAGTTGATGTTTTAGCTCTTATACATAGGGGGGGTGTGAAAAACTGAATTGAACCAAACCTCTAGCAAACATATGGAAATCGGACCTTATTGCCGGCGAGGTAGTCATGAACCAACGGCTTCTTTAAGCAGTTAAGCTAATTCAGCTCCGTCATCGTCATTGCCTTACCAGGGCAGGACCTGAACTGAAAATGAAGCAATCGCGTATGAGCCCCAATTCCATGGCGATGAAGGAGATCCACCTAACTGGCAACGAGCTCCCTAGGAGCGGAATCGGGACCTAATGGTACGAAATTAGACATTCAGAAGAGAGGCCTCACCGCCCTCACATCTGAGGCTTACCCCAGCGACAGCAAACCTCCAATAGAAGACGAATAGAAGGATATACCTGCCTGCATCTGACGCTGGTAGCTATGAACGGGACGGTGTTGGTGAACTGCGGGGTGGAATAGGGTTTGTGGTAGTGACAGGTCCGGTTCTGGGGCGGTCCGGTTCTGGGCAGGTCCGGTTCTGGGGCGGGCCCGGGCGGGTTTTTTTTTTGTAGAAACATCAAACATGAGCCGAAACCAGCCCGGGGTGATACCGGATCCGGCCCGGGTCGGGCCTACCCGGCCGGGTAGTGGGCCGGTTCGGGCCGGGCCCGGGCTATTTAATTTTTTTTGTTTAAATATTAAATTAAGATAACTTGGACATAAAAAATTTAAAATATATTTATTTGAAATATGTAGTACAATTGAAAATTGAGCAAAAATTAAAACATGAAATACACTTTTTAATAAATAAGAATCAATCGGAATTTCCGCCATCTTTGATTGTTTCTTCCATAAAGTGGCGGGAGGGTTCAATGCTAATTTATTGAGTTCTACGTTTGGCCTTCAACCAATCGTGGAAGCAAACAAGCGTCTCATGAGAGTTTGCGTTCAATCTCATTATATAATCCGTTGGGACGTTGTCGTCATATTCGGTTGTCTGTTCCATAAAGTGACTAGTTTTATGTTAATAAACAATGTATGAGTGTGTAAAATAAATTAATGGGAGTGTGAGAGTGTATAAGCAATTGGATAAGTAGATAATAAGTGTATAAGTAGATATACTTAATATATATATATAAGTAGATAATAAGTAGATTAACTAGTAATATATAATATTATGTTTATAGTATATATAATATAAGTATATTACTATAAGATGAGTAATACACTTATATATAATAGTTTAATATATATAAGTATACATTAAGTATATGTAATATGTAAATATAAGTAAATAAAGTAGAGATAATTATATATGTAATATGTAATGTGTAAATATAAGTAAATAAATATAAGTAACAATAATATAATAATTAGATATTAATATAAGTAGATAATAAGTAGATAATAAATTTTATAAATATAATATATGTAGTTATAAATTTGAGAAGATGAAGATGGAGAAGATTAGTAGAGAATAGAGATTAGAGAGTAGGAATATATGGAGAAGATGTGTAGTAAATTGTATAGAAAAAATGGAGTATTTATAGATTTTTTGTACCTCCACCCCCACCCCAACCCACCCTGGGACCGCCTGGAAGGCTCCCAACGGCTATAGAGCCGTTTGGGTTGAATTACAATGGCTATAAGGCCGATTTGGCTGGCCAAAGAAAACAAATAAATATAGCCGTTAGGCCCGGACCGGCCGGGCCGAGTCGCCATTTTGCTTAACCGTGCCCGAACCGCCCCTACCCCCGGGCCAGGTCAAATCCCGCACAGCTCATTAGTTACCCGGACCGGGCCGAACCCGCACAGTGGCGGGCCGGGCCAGTTCCGGGCCGGGCCGGTTTGGTCCATCCTTAAATACAACACATATGAGGTCTTTTTTTCAGGTTGGTGTTGTTGGACGATGGACTCCGACCAGATTCTTGAGGTTGCGAGTATTTTACACCGGTGAGTAGTATATATATGTACGAAAGTGGAACGGGCGGAGGTTTCCGTTAAATCTTCAAAGTATTTTTCTATTCTTGTTCTTTTGATTTTGTAAAATTAATTGGAGAAGTTTCACGCAGATACGAAGGAAGCAAGGGAAACGTTTTCACTTGGCGCTAAAAATTTCCTCAAGAAATTAATTGTTTGTCGAGTCATACAGTCTCAGAGGCTAGCTGAAAATCCATGGAGAAATAGACGGTGTGGGTTTATTTGCATTCCAGCTCAGCAGCACGCGGCGTATGGACGGTTCCGTTGGAGACTGTTTTTTGCTTAGCCTCAATTTATTACTTACGTGGCTGTTCATTTTTAAGAATAGACAAGGCATGGACCCAACCGGGCCGAACCAGCCCAGAATCGTACCGGCCCGCTACTGTGCGGGCCTGTACCGGACCAGGCCCGGATGGCTGGTTTCGGGCTTTAGCCCGGTTTGGGCGGTTCTGGCGAGCCAGTTTTGGGCCATGATTTTCATGAACCGGTCGGGGCGTATGGCGGGCCCGGTTCAATTTTTTTGTTTTTTATTTTTTTCGATTTTTTTTCTTTTCCTTGGGTAGGGCTGGGTGTTTTGGGGGAGGTTTTGGGGGTGGGGGTGAGGGAGGGGGTCGGGGGTTAATTAGAAAGCCAAAAAAATTACATAGAACTGGCCCGGCCCGGCCCGGTTTGGCCCGGACCCGGTATCAACTCGGGCCGGTTCCGGGCCCAACATTCCGGAAAAAAAGCCCGCCCGGCATGGAACCGCCCCAGCCCGGGTCCACCCCTATAGACAAGCCCACTAGAGATGCTCTAAGCCATTTTGTACGTTATGGTATAGACTGTTTTCATTTATAGTCTGTGACTTTAGTCACTTGCAAGTTTAGTCTTCTAACTAATAAATCTTTTCGATTTAAGGATATTTTCTCGGAAAAGAACACTTTCGGGCAAAAATATACCCGAAAAGATGCCACGAACATCGGATTTTCTATCGAAAAGTGTACTTTTCCTAGGGAATGTCCTTGAATCGCAAAAATTTATTAACTATGGGACCAAATTTGCAAGTGACTAAAACTACTGGTTAATAATGAAATTAAAACAATTAAAAGTTACGAGACTAAAATTATAAATCTCTCTTATATTTTTATATAAAAATAACTATTTTGTCATTGATTTATTGTGTATCTTTGTGATATTTCATGTTATTTTTTGTTTCAAAACAATTTTGTTAAGAATTTTTACATGGATCCAACAACGATCGGTAAATCTATGTCAAAATTAAGTATGTGCAAAAGACCTTTTGTCACGAGATATTTGGAACAAAATCACTTCAAAGTCATGCATGCAGTGTTTGTATTGTTCTTGCGATCTATGTAATTGCTAAATATTACAAATTCATTTTAAAATAAGAAGTTGTAAAAAACAAAACACGTGAGAAGAGACTAAAGTAGACTTAAACAAGAGTAAAATACAACAAACCAGGACCCAGGGTCGTGCCTTCTCCTAGGCTAGTGTGGCTTGGGCCTCAGGGCCTTAAAAAAGTTTTAAAAAATAGAGCCACAAAAAATTAAATACTTTATATTATATATGGAAAATTCTTAAAATATGAGTAAAAATGTTTGAAAATTTAAAATAAGATTATCATGTTGACATGGAAATCTAGCTTGTTGACTATACCCATGAAAATATATAACAAGTGTAGAAAAATTGAAGTTTATAAAGACATCTTTACGATTAAGCATGTACGTTAAAAAGGTTGAATGAATTAGTACGTTATGCTATCGATCGATTGAGAAGGAAGTTACCGTAGATCTTGGTTATGCCGAATTGATTAATACTTGTGCATCTAAAATTGTTCGGAAAAGTTGTACTTAACTAGTTGCTTTAATTAATACATTATTGTTATGTTATAATGTAAGAATTTCATGTAAGCATTAATTTTTTGTGATATTAATTCTTTATTTACAAATATGTTGTATTAGAAAACGAATTAGGGCCTTTTATGAGCTCGACTCAGACCATATAGTATAGTATGTAGGCCGCACGTCCGTCCAAAGGAACTAAGCTACATGGGTGCAGCATATATATATATATATATATATATATATATATACCATAGATAGATAGATAGATAGTCCGTACCTGGGAGGTCCCAAGGCTCGCACTTGTTGAGATCCACGTCAGCAATGGCAATGGGGGAGAAGCCAAAGTCGGAAACCTTTTTACTCAGGTAATACGTGATCAGCTCCTCGTCCGTCGGATGAAATCTAAACCCCGGCGGAAGATTTTTACTGTTCTCCTCCATCACACAATTAAGTGATCGATCGATGGATCGGGACTACTCTACTGTACTATAGTATACTTGGCTTATTTATTCCGATACATCGATCTCTGCCTTGCCTCAACGATCCAATTAATTACTGTACGTATAGTAGTAGTAGTAGTCTTTCTTATACAGATTTGACGGAGGTGCCGATTTAATGATTCTCTTATACACACACAATAATAAAAACAATGCAAATACATAGGGACAGAGCAGAGGGAGTATTAATAATTAATTAATTAATTAATTACGTACGTACGTTGTTTCCTATGCCGGCCGGTCATCCATCCTTGAAGAAGAAGCGGCCAATGTATCCCACCCATCTATAGCAATTAACTAGTCACTCTTTGTGTACTTTTTTTTTGCTTTTTGATAATTACAGATACCATATTGACAAAGATAGTTACATATGTACGTTGTGTTGTATATGTATCACAGTTTCATCTCTTTATTTACCCCTTAATTAGTTTATTATTACTATTTATTGCTCCCTATTACTATCCCTATCATATATATTGATCGATGTTACATCAATGGCAGGGTAAAAAATGTAATGTTAGGGGGTACGTGGGCTTAGAAATATTATATTGTCCGGGCCAAAGATAAAACACCATCCAACATATTTCCATAAATTATACTACTACGTATAGATTAAACACCATCCAACATGTTTTTATTTGGACTGTAATTCCTAAATAAAAAGAGACTAGACCAGTTCAGACCAGACCAGCAAATTACAGTCCAAGTAAAAACATCCTAAATATTTATATATAAATTTTATTGGGGGGCTGAGGCCTCCTCCGGTCCTCTCTGTCCCCACCAGTGTATTACGTGAACACGACGACCTTAAATTATACTCCCTACGTCTCAAATTATTTTCCAAAGTCAACATTTTTTGTCAACCAATAATAAAAGTCAATGCTTGCTATACATAATTAATTCAATTTTTAATAATTAAAATTTATATATTTGGAAACTACATTAAAATCTCTTCAAAATTGTAAACTCTAAATTAAAATATAATTAAAAATTGACATCCTAATTAAGTGAATAAAATAAAACTGTTTCACCAAGAAAATTCAAATTTGCAAATCAATTTGGGACGGAGGTAGTATTGAGCAAGGAATCCTCATACCGGCATGTTCTTACAGCTTGGTGAAAACTGAAAAATAATAATATAATTAATAAACACATAATAATAATAATAATAATAATAATAATAATAATAATAATAATAATAATAA